TACAGTACATGCGTTCTTGCATTACTGTGGCAGAAACACACCCCAGTACTAGGGGTGTAACAATATATCGCAATACAAAAATGCAACGATACGTATCGTGGATAGTCCCCACAAAATAAAGATTACTGTGAGAAAAAATGACATTTTCCAGAGTTTTAGTGTCAGTACTACATTAAACTATATATAATGTAGAATAATGCAATGGGGGAATATTTGTGGGTCCTGATAATGCCAAATGTCTGATGTTACCAGTAAAAAGTGGCTGACATGATTTTCAATAAATCTAGTCAGAAAAGGTAAAATAATTGTGTAATTTGAGCTTCAGAATCATGAATATTGTTATTGTGGTGTCACCATTGTCCTTGGGTTACAAGCACCTATTCCAAACATATTCATTTAAACCCACAATGTAATATCTAAGTTAGCATTTTAATCAACAGTACATTTTTTGTTAATCTTTTACCTTATGTCTTGGAGTATCGCAATAATATCGTATCGTGAGTTCAGTATCGTGATATCTATCGAATCGTGACACGAGCGTATCGTTACACCCCTACCCAGTACTCAAGGGGGTGATGCGTTTCCTTGAAGTGTCTGTGCTTCTGGATTTGTTATTTGAGGGAACTGCTGAAGTAAGTAACTTTATGTAACGGAAGTAGTGACAGATTCTGTATCGTGACGTACATCCGCAGAAGCTGATTATGGAAAGAAAGTAAGGTGCAGACTTGTTGTAATCCAACAGTTGTTGATAAGAATGCGATGTTGTAGTTTATGGATAGTTTTCGTGGACAATGAGGACATGTTTACTCCTGAAACTCAAGTCACAAATACTGTTTTGTGAATAATTTGAAATAGGTTTATGTAATATTTGTATTTAGCTTTATTAGGGCCCAAGCCCTGAAAGGGCGAAGGCCCTATTGTTTTCCTAACGATTATTATTATTATTATTATTTATACGACTATTCGGGCACTTTTGAGGCCCTTAACATGCTCAAAAACTCTTGAAACTTTGCACACGGGTCAGAATCCGCGGCCATCAGGGCCGGGCTGAAGATGGTACCCGGGCGTGGCAGGGGGGCTAGACAGCGCCCCCTGGAACGGGGTCCGAAAACTTGGTCCATAAATCAAACACGCTTGCATGTAATAATATGAAACTCGGTGCACATATAGATCTCATCGTTCATATATACCTCAAACTATTACTTTTTACCCCAGCCCAACAGGAAGTCGGTTATTTAGGGTTGTTCATAAAACACTCGCAATGGAATTTGAAGTACTCCTCCTAGAGAATTCAAACACACGGCACGAAACTCGGTCAGCATGAAGTCAAGGCATTGAGGATGAAAGTTTGCGAGGGGATTTTTGATATCTCGAACGGTTTGGCCGTGGCGAGGAAACGAAATTATGGCGAGAATCGTGAAACAGGAAGTGTGTCAGAACTTCAGCATACATTAACTGATCTTGATGAAACTTCAGCAGTTTGTTTGCTGTAAGAGGACGATCACATGGATGTGAATATTGTGAGTCAAAGTTATAGCGCCACCAACTGGCAGCAGGAAGTGTGTCACTTTCAAAATGCTTTGAAATCACCCTCTTATTTTTACCCGATTTGCTTCAAACTTAATCTGTATAATGTAAATACATAGCAGATGAAGACCTGTGAATGGATTCTTGATATCTTTGATACTGTTGCCGTGGCAACGCATCAAACTTTAAAATTCTTTTTTTTGATGATTTTGAGACTCTTAGCGGCTTTTGGGGCCCTTAACGGGTTTGAAAACTCTTGAAACTTTGCACACAGGTCAGATCCCACAGTCATCAGAGCCGGGCTGAAGATGGTACCTGGGTGTGGCAGGGGGGCTAGACAGCGCCCCCTGGAACGGGGTCCGAACACCTGGTCCATAAATCAAACACGCTTGAATGTAATAATATGAAACTCGGTACACATGTTGATCTCATCGTTTCATCTATACCTCACACTCTTACTTTTTACCCCAGCCCAACAGGAAGTCGGCTATTGAGGTTTGTTTGTAAAACGCTCGCAATGGAATGTGCAATACTCCTCCTAGAGAATTCAAACACACGGCACGAAACTCGGTCAGCATGAAGTCAAGGCATTGAGGATGAAAGTTTGCGAGGGGATTTTTGATATCTCGAACGGTTTGGCCGTGGCGAGGAAACGAAATTATGGCGAGAAACGTGAAACAGGAAGTGTGTTATAACTTCAGCATACATTAACTGATCTTAATGAAACTTCAGCAGTGTGTTCGCTGTAAGAGGACGATCACATGGATGTGACTATTGTGAGTCAAAGTTATAGCGCCACCAACTGGCAGCAGGAAGTGTGTCACTTTCAAAATGCTTTGAAATCACCCTTTTATTTTTACCCGATTTGCTTCAAACTTAATCTGTATAATGTAAATATACGGCAGATGTAGACCTGTGAATGGATTCTTGATATCTTTTAAACTGTTGCCGTGGCAACGCATCAAACTTTACCATTCTTTTAGGATGCTTTTGAGACCCTTAGCATGCTTCAAATCGCATGAAACTCGACAGACACATCACATTTATTAGCCAGTAGACATGTGCAAAGTTTCAGAAACGGGCGTGGTGAGGGCTCAGTAGCACCACCTTTTGACAAAAGTGGGGTTGTTAGTTTTAACTAGAGTTACAAAAATCGGTATGTATATTGTACTCCTCGAGCCGGACAACTTTCTAATTGACACTCATTAGCTAGGACCCACAGAAAGTCAGATATCTTTGTTTGAATGTAGAGAAAATCTTTGAATTTAGCCAGTCTCTCAGTGTCTCTCTGTGTGAGTGAGAGGAGGGGCGCCTGTCAGGTTAATTTTAACCCTTTATTTGCTGTGTGCGACTTCTCTGGCATTTTCGGGGGCCTTAACATCCTCTAAAACTCTTGAAACTTTGCACACGGGTCAGAACCCATGGCCATCAGGGCCGGGCTGAAGCTGGTCATCGGGCGTGGCAGGGCGGCTCGACAGCGCCCCCTGGACTGGGATTCGAACATTTGTCCATAAATCAAACACACTTGCATGAATTAATATGAAACTCGGTACAATTATAGATCACATCAGGCCAAACAACTTTCGTGCTCTAAGTTTTACGACATTTAAAATGGAAGTTGAGAATTATGGGTTGTTTGAATAGTTGTCCTAGGAGAAATACATCAAATTACAACGCTTGTGTTTACCAATCACAACCAAACTCGGTGTGCAAGAAGTCAAGACATTGAGGATGAAAGTTTGTGAGGGGATTTTTGATATCTCAAACGGTTTGGCCGTGGCGAGGAAACGAAATTATGGCGAGAAACGTGAAACAGGAAGTGTGTTATAACTTCAGCATACATTAACTGATCTTGATGAAACTTCAGCAGTGTGTTCGCTGTAAGAGGACGATCACATGGATGTGACTATTGTGAGTCAAAGTTATAGCGCCACCAACTGGCAGCAGAAAGTGTGTCACTTTCAAAATGCTTTGAACTCACCCTTTTATTTTTACCCGATTTGCTTCAAACTTCATCTGTATAATGTAAACATACGGCAGATGTAGACCTGTGAATGGATTCTTGATATCTTTGATACTGTTGCCGTGGCATAAACTTTACCATTCTTTCAGAATCACTTCGGGCGATAGTTTAAACTCAAAATCATAAATAGGGCTATAATGCACTCTTGTGTCATTATTTTTCTATATTTATTACGTATTTGACAGAGGATGTTATTTTATTGCGAGTGTACACAAATATAGGTAAACAGTTTGCAGTCTGAATGTTGTCCTTTATGAACAAAATAACGGATTATGTTTCCTGTTTCCTCTGTTCACACACACACACACACACACGCACACTCCGGCTTGAGAGAGGCGCGCGCGTCGAAGTGCGTGTGTGTGAGAGAGAGAGAGAAAGAGAGGGGGGGGGGGCATTGTACTCCTCAAGCCAGAGAACTTTCTAATTCATAGTCATTAGTTTGGATCAAGAGGAAGTCAGATATTTTGGTTTGAATATGGTGAGCCTCTCTCTGAGCCTACTGTACGTCCCTATATGGCAAGCCCTTTTAACATTTAAAAGCTAAGTTTGCCTATCCGGAATTAACATTGTAGATATCAACACGCCACATTTTGACAAAAGTGACTAGTCTTAATTACATATTGAATAGTTTGTATTATCATTTAAGATATCTGTAATGTAATTGTGACTGGTCGAAACGACAGATAGAGTATGGCAAGCTGTTTTAACATTTAATCATTTAATCATGAAAGGGCCAAAGCCTGCGACACCGCCACCCGGGTGCCTTTAGGTAACTAAAGGAACCGGGGTTGCGGTGCCACCGGCTTGGGCCCGCCATCGCTGCTCGCAGCTATATTTGTTATTGTAGTTGTAATCATTTTAGTACTTCAACTTATTTCAGTTAGTCGATAAAACTTTTTGTAAACAAAGATTTTTGATTTGATATTTTATTTCATTTCAGCTGTATTATTTGTAATAGTTACAGTTTTAGTGAAAAATAACTCACAATAACTTCATAATAAGATGCATTTATAAGTGTGATAATTATTATTGCTATTAAAAGATTAATAATTTCCATTTCATGACGCCTTAAATGGCAGCTAGCTCAGCGAGGGTCTTTTCCATCTCAGACATTCCTCGACCTAACAAACGCAGATGAAACATGTTACGAGTGCTGGCCAATATACAGGTCACTCAGTTTTTCATACGCAACAGTCTGAATGTAGTTACTATTACCTACCCTCTCATACCTTTAGAATTAAAGCCGTCGCAGTACCTTTAAGATTTCTATAGATGGGTTAATGCCCTTTCCTCTGATTAGGAACAAGCAGCAAGACCCTTTCAAAGTTGCCGAACGATGAAAAGTCACTGATGTGCAAATATCTGTGGTGATATGTTAATGAGCTTTTGTTTGTGACACGAGTCCTCCTGAATGACCTTCTCATGCAGCTTTCATCTTTGTCTGTTGTAGAAAGCGGCTCCTCCATCACTGCGTCCTGTGTGGGTCTGGGCTGCTCACTCGCTCCCCCTGCCGGTACAGCCGGTAAAGCCGTGCCTGGATACGACGGTGAGATCCCTCTACATTGTTCTTTGGCACTCTTCATGTGACACGTGTGAGGCTGATCATTTGTTTATCACAAACTCTTTGTTGTCAATCGATGAGCGATTATGTCTCAGAGCTCCTTTTGATAGATGTTTGAGCTTGTAATAGCTAGATAATTCAATAAATGACCAAAGCACTTTCTTTATCTTTGTCTCATAGTGACAGTGATTGATGATGATATGCAACAGGTGAAACCAAGGACTCTGGGAAATATTGTGGTAAAGTGAGTTATTTGAATCCTTTCATTGTTTTATTTTTATCGATTGAGAAGGGGACAGAAGGGAATAGCTTGTGGGAATGGCTTGTATCTATCTATCTATACTGTGTGTATATATATATATTTAAATAGAAACGAGTTATGCATTATGTTTTTACTTACTCATAAGGGACTTTTTTCAAAAACATATATTTTATATATACAGGTATAAATGATAAAATACGCAGGAGAATATTACAAATGGAAGTGCATCCTGGGATGATTTTTCCTTTTCCAATTATTCTTTGTTGGTAAAATAGTTACAGTACAATTTATGTTTATATTGAAGTAATTTTTAAATGTTTAAACGTCTAAAGTGTATGCCTTTAGATGAAAAGGTCGTAAAGAAACCTGTAAAATGTGTTACCAAACAATGCTGATTTCAGAGCTTCTTCATTAGTGAAACTGTATGAAATACACAATAATAATAATAATAATAAAAAGATCAATACGAGTATCTGTTCAATGATATGAGGCGTTATAGACAGCCAGTCATATTTTGACAGGTCCAATGCCCATCCAGGTGTCCTTAAGATGACAGCCCAACCTCTTTGTTTGATCTTCACAAAATTAGTCTTCTTTTCTGTGCTTTCCACTTCAGTGTTCACTCATCTTCCCCACACAATAAAAGATTTAATGACACAAAGCCAAAGCTGACGAGAATCTTTTGATCACAGATCTCACTTTATCATCTCAGTCTTTGTACGAGGACATTAAGGCCGAGTCTGAGCAGAATGTCTAATGGAGTCTCGTCTCACACCGTCTGCTTAGAAAAGAGCATTTGGTGTGTTCTTTCAAACCCTCTTCAGGTGCAACCCACGTCTAAGTCTGGCGACGCGCCTGTCCTCGCACGCCGCAGAGGGAACTAATCTCGCACGTTTGTGTTGTCATTTTTGTTCTCCGGTAGATTTGACATTAATCAAAAGCGTGTTTGTTTGAAAGCCAGACGGATAGAAAGTCAGATTAAAAGGAAATTGTGTTTTATAAAACAAGACGATACATAAACAGTTTCAGGAGTCGCACATACCTTTTCTTTATTAAGTATTTTGATTTATGTGGCCATCAAGGGTCATATATATATATATAAAAAGAGGAATAAGTAAAAAAAATTTCTTTTTTGGCAAGTACGTTGGTAACCAAACAGTTTAGTTATTGAGTAACACCAAAACATTCGTCAAAATATCATCTTGTATGCTCTGCGTAAAAGTTTGGAATAACGTGAGGGTGAGAGAATCATGACAGAATCTGTTTGCTGTGAATATCGTCATTCATATTTATACTTGAAAGCATTTTCTGAAAGGTTGAAAACATCGTATTTCTTGAAGCAAGGTCACGTGTTGACATTTTTTTCTCTTTCTTCTCTCGACAGGCTTCCTCTGCCTCCCGGGGCGGCTCTCAGTCTCTGGCAGAATCAGACGCTGTTTAAGAAGGTGTACTTCACCAAGTTCCCTGTAAGCATTCAGCTGTACACACGCATATATTCACCATCTGCTCTACTGTGACATGCATGCATCTTTCTTTATTTTTCATGCAGTAGTTTGAAAGGAGCACTTTGTATCACCAGCATAGGCAGACTTTGGACTTGCAGTTACATTTGGTCCAGTTATTGTGGGCAAAATCCAGACAGACCCATTCAGACAGACAGTAAGGGACTGACGTGTAAAATGAGCAGACACAGATTATGTTTTTATATGCGGATTAGGAGGTTTATCCGGCGTACACCATAATGAAGAAATTCAGAAAATATGCAAATAATTGTGGTTTGTGTCTGTAGAATTTTTGTATGTGTGTAATATGCAATTGTGAATTTTGTCTTGGACAGAATATGTAATGAATGTCAATTGATGCAATGTGTCTCAATCAGGATCTGAGAAGGCTGGAGTTGAGCGATTAGTTTTGAGTGCTCGTAACGCGAAAGCCGCATACCCAACTTTAGGAAGTCGCCCTAGCATCTGTGGGCTTGCCGAGGGCGAGACTGTTACGCGCAGTTTGATTAGGATGTCTATATCCATTTCTTTTGATAATAATCAGGCAGGACAGTCATAATCTCAACACAGGATGGCGCTCAGCACGCGCTTTTGATCGTTACAGCAGCGGCTGGCTGCATTCAATCCACACGCTGATTGTGATGAAAGGTGTAAAAGATGTATTTGATGTTTTTTTGAATGAAGTACTGCTATGTTTACCATGGAAGTGGAACTGATACTTTGAGGCTTTAAAAAGGACGCAAAAGGCCCAAAACGTGAAATAAAAGTGATCCTTATGACATGCACAAAGTAAGAGAAGTTAAGTTTTGAAGCTGGTATATGAGGCATTTTATTGACGTTTTTGTTGGTACTGAATATAAGAACCAGACAGAAGTACACTAGTAGAATTTCAACGCTTTATAAGTAGGCTTTATATTCCATTGTTGTAGTATAATGTTAAAATGTCTTTGCATATGGGTGTTTATACTTGAATAGACATCACTGGCACGTCACGAAACAGCTATTGTAGAAAGAAGCAAATTGGATTGATCTGAGACTGAGAACGGCATGGCATGCTGCGATGTGTGCTTTTATGGGGTGCAGCGCCATCCAGCAGCTCAAAGAAATATTACGTATACCAGTCATGAATGTGTGTTAGTATTTTTTTGATTGAAAAGTATTTTTATTGTACTTCCTCTCAGGGTTACTACGACACCATGGACGCAGGGTTTGTGGACGAGGAGGGCTTCTTGTACATCATGTCTCGGTCCGACGACGTCATCAACGTGGCGGGTCACAGGCTGTCCACCGGTGCCCTCGAAGAGGTCTCACTCATGACACAAATAATAACAACCACAAGCATCTTTGTTGTTGGCATACTAACAAACCATATATTATGTGTGTGTCCTTCAGTCCGTCCTGCTGCACCCTGCCGTGGTGGACTGTGCTGTGGTGGGGCTGGAGGACTCCCTGAAGGGACATGTGCCTCTGGCTTTGTGTGTGCTCGGAAATGGTGAGAAATGAAGGAAAGATAGATAATAATAATAAAAAAAGGTAATAATATATATATATATATATATATATATATACAGTATATATACCGTATTTTCCGTACTATAAGGCGCACTTAAAAGCCTTTAATTTTCTCAATTTCCTTATATATGGATCAATTGGTTAACAACGCTCCTGCGTTAAATTCACCCGCGAACTCGTGCTCCTGTCCATCTTAAGGAGGTCACACACCGGACGAGAAGCTCAGCACCGCGTAGCGCAGCGCCACATCTTTAAAATTGGAACACATTATTCTCAATGAGTGTACACACACCGGCGGCGCCATTCGGCGTCTGTCCGCGGCGCCCAGCAACGGCTCAGGACCGTGTTCAGAATCCTGCTGCGCCACAGAGCGCCATTTACATGTAAAAAGTGTGCGATACCTGGAGTTGTCCTAGACCTGGTGTGGCACGGCGCTTCTGGTCACTAGGCCCTTTTTAGGCCCTTCTAACTTTATGCCTAGCCCCCCCTAAAAATGAGGGATTAATATGCTACACAAATTCGTGTTCGCTTCAGTCTTGTTTTAATCCGATTCAGCGCGTTTTTCATCTTAAATCCGCAGTGGCGCTGAGCAGAGAGCGCGTCAAAAAGAGAGGAAATTATGTGTGTGTTCATCTGAGCCCATTGGTCTGTCACCGCTCGTCAATGTCAGAATATTTGAGATGAGCAATCAAATCAATGTAGGCGGGCTTTACATTCACAGACTGAGCGCGAATTTTAGCAGCACGACACGACGCTTCAGTGCACGGGCAAGTGCGAGATAAGATGTAAGTAGCTAAAAACGTATAGTTACTTATAATGTTATATATTTGACAGTTTTTTCAGGTCATACATATTAAAGGAATGACAAAAAATAATCAGGAAAAGTAATATACGTAGTTTTGTCTAATTTTGCCCTTTTGAGCTGAAATTAGGCTTGTAACGTCAGCCTAATGTAATGATTTGTTTTACTGTCATTGTGAGTGGACAAGAAACATTAACAAAGCCGTTTTTATGTTAGGTACAGGATTAATAATGAATGTGTACATATTGAAAATAGAATAAATGAACACGTCTGAGAAAATGATTCATAGGCAAAATCAACCAGTTGACCCTATGTTTACTTTCTTCACTGTCAGACAAAAATAAAAAGCCTATTACCAGTCAAAGCTCAACTGTAGGAGGGGAAGAGACAGGGCAAGAGAAAAACAAAGAGAAAAAGAGTGTGATTCTGATGAGGAGAGAAAAATAATCAGCTGGCCACTGACATGGTTTTATCCCAAAAAAATGTGCCTTCAAAACATCTTAAAATGCACATAATAGTTCAGAGAATGAAAAAATTTGGAACTCGAACCCCCCTGGCTAACACAACTCAAATTCAGGACTACGGTGATTCTAAAACCCTGCAATTGCATGGTAATGAAAGTGAGCATTAGACCTTAAATTAAACTTTTAGCTTATAAAAATACCCTCATTGGGGGCTTAACCCCCCCTAAAAGGAAAATCCTAGAATCACCCCTGTTTGTAAGTAACGTGTCCGTTCATGAGCGCTCACTCTTAACAGACACACGAACAGACACACTGTCCCCGGCGCTGCCCGTGGGTCACAGAATGTTCATAAAGCGCTCTCCGTTCACAGTAACCGGGTCGTCTCATTCAAAACAGCCAGCTGTTGCTGTCAGTGAGCCGCCGCACATGAATGCTCGTATGAGTCAGGCTGCGAATGTAAGTGACTAAATAAACGCCTCACCTCCAGCGCCGCGCACTCGTGACGTTCCCTTTAGCCTATAGCACATCTAGTGGATGCATAACGCAAACCCAGTCAAACGTGTGACTGCAGTATGTTATGCGCCTTGTAGTGCGGAAAATACGGTGTGTATATATATATATATATATATATATATAAGTTTTAGATCGGTAAGATATTTTATGTTTTTAAAAGAAGTCTCTTCTGCTCACCAAGACTACAATTATTTGATAAAAAAAAGTAATATTGTGAATATTTTGGCAATTTAAAACAGGGGTTTTCTATGTGATTATATAGTGAAGTGTAATTTATTTCTGTGATCAAAGCTGAATTTACGGCATCATTACTCCAGTCTTCAGTGTCACATGATCTTACAGAAATTATAATACTATGATGCTCAAGAAACATTTATGATTATTATCCATGTTGAAAACAGTTTGTTGGAAAGCTTTTGTAACATGTACCACTGTCGTTTTTTTTTTTTCGGGTCGAAATTTCGAGTTTCGATATCTCAGCTCTGGAAGGGTCTAGAGCCTCAATTTTTGCACTCAGGTCTAAGTCTCATGGCCCTCTATCAGAATCCAGAGTTTTGAGAAGATTGGGGATACTTAATTTTTCACCCCCAAAAAAAAAATAAAAAACGTAAGGGGTAACACTGTCGTTTTTTTTTCTGGTCGAAATTTTGAGTTTCGATATCTCCGCTCTGGAAGGGGCTAGAGCCTCCATTGTTGCACTCAGGTCTAAGTCTCATGGCCCTCTATCAGAATCCAGAGTTTTGAGAAGATTGGGGAAACTTAATTTTTCGCCCCCCCAAAAAAAACGTAAGGGGTAACACTGTCGTTTTTTTTTCGGGCCGAATTTTTGAGATTCCATATCTCAGCTCTGGAAGGGGCTAGAGCCTCCATTTTTGCACTCAGGTCTAAGTCTCATGACCCTCTATCAGAATCCAGAGTTTTGGGAAGATTGGGGAAACTTAATTTTTCGCCCAAAAAAAAAAAACGTAAGGGGTACCACTGTCGTTTTTTTTTCGGGCCTAATTTTTGAGTTTCCATATCTCAGCTCTGGAAGGGTCTAGAGCCTCCATTTTTGCACTCAGGTCTAAGTCTCATGGCCCTCTATCAGAATCCAGAGTTTTGGGAAGATTGGAGAAACTTAATTTTTCACCCCAAAAAAAAAAACGTAAGGGGTACCACTGTCGTTTTTTTTTTCGGGCCTAATTTTTGAGTTTCCATATCTCAGCTCTGGAAGGGTCTAGAGCCTCCATTTTTGCACTCAGGTCTAAGTCTCATGACCCTCTATCAGAATCCAGAGTTTTGAGAAGATTGGGGATACTTAATTTTTCACCCCAAAAAAAAAAATAAAAAACGTAAGGGGTAACACTGTCGTTTTTTTTTCTGGTCGAAATTTTGAGTTTCGATATCTCCGCTCTGGAAGGGGCTAGAGCCTCCATTGTTGCACTCAGGTCTAAGTCTCATGGCCCTCTATCAGAATCCAGAGTTTTGAGAAGATTGGGGAAACTTAATTTTTCGCCCAAAAAAAAAAAACGTAAGGGGTACCACTGTCGTTTTTTTTTCGGGCCTAATTTTTGAGTTTCCATATCTCAGCTCTGGAAGGGTCTAGAGCCTCCATTTTTGCACTCAGGTCTAAGTCTCATGGCCCTCTATCAGAATCCAGAGTTTTGGGAAGATTGGAGAAACTTAATTTTTCGCCCCAAAAAAAAAAAAAACATAAGGGGTACCACTGTCGTTTTTTTTTTGGCCGAATTTTTGAGTTTCCATATCTCAGCTCTGGAAGGGGCTAGAGCCTCCATTGTTGCACTCAGCTCTAAGTCTCATGACCCTCTATCAGAATCCAGAGTTTTGAGAAGATTGGGGAAACTTAATTTTTCGCCCCCCCAAAAAAAAAACGTAAGGGGTACCACTGTCGTTTTTTTTTCTGGTCGAAATTTAGATTTTCGATATCTCCGCTCTGGAAGGGGCTAGAGCCTCCATTTTTGCACTCAGGTCTAAGTCTCATGACCCTCTATCAGAATCCAGAGTTTTGAGAAGATTGGAGAAACTTAATTTTTCGCCCCCCCAAAAAAAAACGTAAGGGGTACCACTGTCGTTTTTTTTTCGGGCCGAATTTTTGAGTTTCCATATCTCAGCTCTGGAAGGGGCTAGAGCCTCCATTGTTGCACTCAGCTCTAAGTCTCATGACCCTCTATCAGAATCCAGAGTTTTGAGAAGATTGGGGAAACTTAATTTTTGCCCCCCAAAAAAAAAACGTAAGGGGTAACACTGTCGTTTTTTTTTTCGGGCCTAATTTTTGAGTTTCCATATCTCAGCTCTGGAAGGGGCTAGAGCCTCCATTTTTGCACTCAGGTCTAAGTCTCATGACCCTCTATCAGAATCCAGAGTTTTGGGAAGATTGGAGAAACTTAATTTTTCGCCCAAAAAAAAAAAAAAACGTAAGGGGTACCACTGTCGTTTTTTTTCGGGCCGAATTTTTGAGTTTCCATATCTCAGCTCTGGAAGGGGCTAGAGCCTCCATTTTTGCACTCAGGTCTAAGTCTCATGACCCTCTATCAGAATCCAGAGTTTTGGAAGATTGGGAAACTTAATTTTCGCCCAAAAAAAACGTAAGGGGTACCACTGTCGTTTTTTTTTCGGGCCTAATTTTTGAGTTTCCATATCTCAGCTCTGGAAGGGTCTAGAGCCTCCATTTTTGCACTCAGGTCTAAGTCTCATGGCCCTCTATCAGAATCCAGAGTTTTGGGAAGATTGGAGAAACTTAATTTTTCGCCCAAAAAAAAAAAAAAACGTAAGGGGTACCACTGTCGTTTTTTTTTCGGGCCGAATTTTTGAGTTTCCATATCTCAGCTCTGGAAGGGGCTAGAGCCTCCATTTTGCACTCAGCTCTAAGTCTCATGACCCTCTATCAGAATCCAGAGTTTTGAGAAGATTGGAGAAACTTATTTTTTCGCCAAAAAAAAAAAACGTAAGGGGTACCACTGTCGTTTTTTTCGAATTTTTGAGTTTCCATATCTCAGCTCTGGAAGGGTCTAGAGCCTCCATTTTTGCACTCAGGTCTAAGTCTCATGGCCCTCTATGAGAATCCAGAGTTTTGGGAAGATTGGAGAAACTTAATTTTTCACCCCCCCAAAAAAAACGTAAGGGGTAACACTGTCGTTTTTTTTTCGGGCCTAATTTTTGAGATTCCATATCTCAGCTCTGGAAGGGGCTAGAGCCTCCATT